CATCTATTTATTGTTGTTGTCATTCTCTTTCTGTATTTCTCCCTCCCTCCCTCCCTCCTTCCCGACCCTCCCTCCCTTCCCCTCCCCTCCCCTCCCCCTTTCCCCTTCCTTCACCTCCCTTTTCCTCTCCTCTTCTCATCTATCAGTAAACTTTTAAATTGAAGTGTGCATCCAGAAAAGTGCACAAATCATTAAGTGTGTAGTTCAATGAATTTTCACAAAGTGAACACACTATGTACCCATCATCCATATCCAGAAACAGAATGGTAACCAAGAAGCTCTCCTTATGCCCCTTTTTATTACTAGTCCCATCCTTCAAGGGTAAGCACTGTCCTGGCTTCTAACACAGAGATTGGTTTCTGCTAGTTTTCAGTTTGTACAACTGGAATCTTTCAGTACGTCCTCATTTGTGGCTGCCTTCTTTCATTCACCAATGTGATTGTGAGAGTCATCTGTGTTGTTGTCTGTAATTGAAGTTTATTCTCATTGCTGCATAATATTCCATTGTGTGAATATACTATTATTATTCATTTGCCTGCTAATGGATGTCTAGGTTGTTTCCGGAATTTGGCTGTTAAGAATTGTGCTGCCAAGAACAATTTAGCGTTTGTCTCTTGGTTACCATATGTACACATTTCTGTTGGGTATCTGCCTAGAGGTGGACTTGCTGGGTCATGAGGCACTCATGGCTCATATACTGGTCGCTGTTTTATCCTTTGGACTTATGAAGCTTAAATGAAGATGAGTAGATTTTCTAGCTCCATGACCACTTTTAGCCTTAGCTGAGGATGTATCTTTAAATATATCATTTCACCGTGTAATAAAAATGCAGATCTAACTTCCAAATACAGGGCCACATGAGGGTCACTCTATAATTAAACATGGTTTTGAAATATCAAAGTGATGAGAATGAGCCATGTATACTTAGAATATAATTTTTCCAAGGTGGAAGGAAGAAATTACCTGCTTATTTATACTTAGATGACTTTCATAGTTAGATCAGACTCAAATGATATCTTTGGAGAAAGCTCTGTGATGTCCTTTTTTTTAAAAAAAAAGGGCTTGGAAAACAGACACAAAGAAAGGTAATTCTAAGTGAAAACTTTTGCATTATCTCTTGATGTATTTAAATCTAGGCTCACTTTGGGCACTTAAAATATTATTCAATGTATATAAACTTACTGTGCATTAACTATTTTTTTAACAAAAATTTACCAAAAACCAATAGACCTTGTCTGTCAGGATATGATAATGAAAGTAAGTCCTTGCTCAAAAGTGAGCCTTCTGAATAAAACAAAAAAAAATTGTTTTGCCACACATAGGTACCTAAATATAACATTGTTTTTTGATTAAAAAAAAAGAGAAAAAAACCACTATTAAACATGTTTGGAATGGAATTAAAAGCAAAATATGACAACAGACACAGACAATAATCTATTAATATGTGCAACTTTTAAAAGTCAGTAAGCTGATGGCTTTCAGTAAGACTGAGCATTAGCAAAATCTGCTTTATATTTGATTTTTCTCCATTGGCTGAGTTTCTATGCTGAACAGTAGAAGTGCTGTGAAACATCGTTATCCTGTAGGTTCCTTACGTAACTTTTTATTTTTTAAGTTGGAGAAAGAATGTTTAGATGTAAATAAAATGTTAGGGACTACTAAAGTAAAATGAGTAAAGAATGTGTTTCATAAAAATATTTTATAATAATATATCAAATCCTCATGGTTTTATTTTGCAAGGTTAGTTTTAAATGATTTAATGCAAAGTAGTAATTGAGTTTGGTAAGTTACTTTGAAAATTCGATTTGTATTTTGTGTGAATTTTTACAAATGGCATTTCCAGCTGTTTGGATTAATTGAGTTATGTCCTCCTGAGTAATTGCTACGTTATATACACAGTGAATTATGAACTTAAATCCCTTTGTCTAAAATAGGTGCCATCAATCAAAGTCCTGTCCTTCTAGTTCTCAGCATATTAGGTTAGTGCTGATCGTGCCAAAGTTTAAAAATATTATTAGGTCTTAATAAAATTTTTAGCATACAACTTTTCAATGTAGAGAATGTGACAAGATGTCCTCACTTAACTTTTAAGATAATGCCATTAAACATTTTCTATTAATTCTTTTCCAACGGAGTTTTGCAAGTATTTTGTTCATTGGCTTCTAAAAGGCTACCAGATTTAGTAATAATTCTTTTTGGTTAAAAAAGCCAAAAAAAAAAAACCAGAGATCAAGGGCTTTCCTATTGATACTGGCAAAAAATTTATACAATTTTATTCTGCATGATATTAAATCTAGGCAGCAAAACTGTTCTGTTAACCTGAGGAGGAGTAAGTGCCTAAGAGATAGTTTTATTGTTCTGTTTTATGTGGACTAGAGAAAATCTGAAGTATGCGGGAGGAATTTAACGAGTACGGTGACATACCGTAATAATGTTTGTACGTTCATGTTTATATTTTCATTGGTGCTTTATTGCTTTACCAAATGGGCAATAAGCTAGTAGAACTTAAATATTGTTATGTGATTGACAGAATGTTTATTATTCCTTGGATAGACTATGAATATACTCATTTATATCAACATTTATGGAAACTCATTTTGTGTGATTGTATAGTCCCAGCATGAAAGTACAGAGCCAATCATTTCTAAACCATTGGGTTTAGAAAACCCAATCAAAGTGGAGTTTGGAATACAGCTTCACTTTTTGCTCACCATATAGACTTTTAGCTGTTTCAGTAGCCTTTTCACAATCAATGCCATTGAACCTTAGTTCCTCACCTGGCGTTTCTCAGATTGTGCTCTTTAACGTAACATATGGGTCCCCCTGACTTAGTTTAACACTAGCCATTTGGGAGATGTGGAGGTTAAAAAAAATAGCAATGCTATTGTTTAGTAGGGAATCCAAGACAGAAAATCATAGAAATACAGGGATGAGTGGAATAAATTCCATTAAATGTTGTAAAGAGATAGCTGAATGGATGCAGAGGAAGATTTGGATTTGGGGGAATCTGGGAAAGCATCTTGGAAGATATACCTTTTCAGACATTTCTTTAAGGAAGGTATGACCTCGGTGGGTGGGTGGGCGGGTGGACTATTTCAAGTGGAAGGCACAGTGAGATAAGGTCCAGAACGGGGAAAGTGAAGGCTGTGAGTGGAGAATTTCAGTAGCTTCTTTTGTTCCCAGACATGATTTATGAAAGCGATGCAGGGAGGAAAAATGGAAAGGTTAGTTGAAGATCATATTGTGGAGCGTTTTAAACGTGATAACAGGATGAATTTATTCTATAGTCTTCAAGGAGTCGTTGGTCGCCTCTGAGAGAATAATTTAATCAACGTGATATCTTTAGTGCAGTTCACGTTTAGTACATTGGATGGAGTGCTGGGAAGGAAAGTTTCTGATTAGTCTTGCCCTCTGTTTTTAAGCTTGTTGCCCTATGCGTTGCATCCTCTTGTGGCCAAGGCGTGCATCATAAGCAAAGTTAATATGATCACTGCAAGCTACATCACCCCAGCACTGAAAGAATTAGAAAAGAGGTAAGTTTCAGTCATTTTCAAGAAAGTAGCTCCAGGGAATTGTTTTTGTTTGCTATCTAAATTTCCCTCCCTTCTCTTTCCATCTCTCGTAGTGTGGAAGATGCCGGCATCACAGTCATTGGCGAATTGGGATTGGACCCTGGTCTTGATCACATGTTGGCAATGGAAACAATAGATAAGGCCAAAGGCGTGGGAGCCACGGTGAGCCCAGCTGACACCCAAAGGTCCTTTTAGCAAAATATTAAGAGGTCCAGATTTTTGTGTACAATAATAATCTTTCTATAATTTTGATTAAAGAAGCTGCTGTATCTTTTTTTAAAGGTTATACTTCACTTATAGTTATTATAAAATATTGGATATATTCCCTGTGTTGTATGATATCTCCTTGTAGCTTATTTTATACCTAATAGTTTATACCTTTTAATCCCCTGCCAAAGTAATGCCCCTCCCCCCTTCCCTCTCCCTACTGGTAACCACTAGTTTGTTCCCTATATCTGTGTTCCCTATATCCCTATATCTTATATTCACAAGTTTGTTTTACTTTTTAGATTCCACCTATAAGTGATACCATACAGTATTTGTCTTTCTCTGTTTTACTTCACTTAGCATAATACCCTCCAAGTACATCCATATTGTTACAAATGGCAAAAGTTCATTCTTTTTCATAGCTAAGTAGTATTCTATTTTATACACACATCACATCTTCTTTATCTATTCCTCTGTTGATGGATGCAGGTTGCTTCCATATCTTGGCAGTTGTAAATAATACTGCTACAAACATTGTGGTGCACATACCTTTTTGAATTAGTATTTTTGGTTTTTTCAGATTTTTACCCAGGAGTGGAATTGCTGGGTCATATGGTAGTTCTATTTTTAGTTTTTTGAGGAAGTTCCGTAATGCTTTTTCCGCAGTAGTGGAACCAATTTACATTCCCACCAACAGTGTAAGAGGGTTTCCTTTCCTCTACATCCTTGCTGACATTTGTTATTTGTGTTCTTTCTGATGATAGCTATTCTGGCAGGTGTGAGGTGATATATTACTGCGGTTTTGATTTGCATTCCCTGATGTTGAGCATCTTTTCATGTGTCTGTTGGCCATCTGCATTTCCTCTTTGGAAAAAGCCTATTCGGGTCATCTGCCTATTTTTTAAATTGGTTTTTTTTTTTTTTGATGCTGAGTTGTGTGAACTGTTTATATATTTTGGGTGTTAATTCCTTATCAGTCATATCATCTGCAAATATTTTCTCCTATTCAGCAGGTTATCTGTTTGTTTTGTTGATGGTTTCCTTTGCTGTGCAAAAGCTTTTAAGTTTAATTAGTTCCCATTTGTCTACTTTTGCTTTTGTTTCCTCTGCTTTAGGAAACAGATCCAAAAAGTTATTGCTGTAATTTATATCAAAGAGTGTTCTGTCTGTGTTTTCCTCTAGGAGTTTTGTGGTTTCTGGTCTCATATTTAGGCCTTTAATCTATTTTGAGAAAAAACTACTGTATTCTAACTAATACTTTGACTAGAAATTTCAAATAAAATTTTGAAACTGCAGAAGTATCTGTGTGGTAAAAAAAAGTCCAAGTCTTAAGAATAGATTTTTAGAGAAATAAATACTACTATTATATTTTGATTTGATAAAAGATTTTAGACTGCTTTGGAGATTCTATAACAAAGTTTGACTTCTAAAAGTGGGCAGATTTTTGTAGTATCATTAATCTGTTGGTATATAAAGTATCTTGTACACACAAGAAAGAACACGACATAAAAATGTTTTGGTAAATCAGATAAAATATAACCTAACCTAATGTAATAAATATATTACCTAAAATAGGTTTTATATCTATAATGAGTAATATATATATAATCAAATATAGAATCAAATTATTTAGAATATTAATTACTTACATTTTGCATTACTTACATATGAATTAATAAATGCCAACTATCATATATAATCAAATTATAATCAAATCTATAATTTGAATACAATGTCAGGAGGCACTGACCAAGCAGAGTTGAACTAATAGCTGGATCTTTTTTTTTAATATAAGTATAGTTGATTTACAATATTAGGTTCAGGTGTTCAGCAAAATGATTCAGTTTTTTTCAGATTATCTTACACTATAGGTTATTACAAGATATTGAATATTGTTCCCTGTGTTATGCAGTAAATACTTGTTGTCTATCTATATTATATATGGTAGTGTACATCTATTAATCCCATACTCCTAATTTATCCCCTTCCTTCACCTCTTGGTAACCTTAGGTTTGTTTTCTACATCTGTGAGTCTTTTTCTGTTTTGTAAATAGATGAATTTGTATTATTTTTCAGATTCCACATATAATAGTGATATCATACAGCCTTTGTCTTCCTTTGTCTGAGTTACTTCACTTAGTATGATATTCTCTGGGTCTAACCATGTTGCTACAAATGGCAATATTTCATTCTTTTTTATGGCTGAGTAGTATTCCATTATCTATCTATCTATCTATCTATCTATCTATCTATCTATACACACACACACACACATATATATATATGTACACACACACACACACACACACACACATCTTACATCTTCTTTATCCAGTCATCTGTGGATGGACACGTAGGTTGCTTCCATGTCTTGGCTATTATAAACGATGCTGCTATGAACATTGGGGTACATGGTTCTTTTCAAATTAAAGTTTTCATCTTTTCTAGATATATGCCCAGGAGTAGGATTGCTGGATGATACAGTATCTCTATTTTTAGTTTTTTAAGGAAACTCCGTCTGTTTTCCAGTATGTTTTCCAGATTTTTAGTGGAGCAAAATGATAGTCACAATCTCTAGAGGATTTAAACTATGCATATATAAAATATAACTGATTAACCAAATAGTGTTTGGCTTTAAGGATATATTTTTGAAAGCCTTTGTAACTTTAAGAAAGGAAAAACTGTAGGAAGTTTACCTTATTTGTGTCATTGTACTCAATTAATTACTTGGATAGATTATTCTCCCCCACTTATTGTTAATTCTCCCTAACTTACTGCTTTTTTTTAAATTTTACAGATTGAATCTTATATTTCCTACTGTGGTGGGCTTCCAGCCCCTGAACATTCAGACAATCCTTTGAGGTACAAATTCAGCTGGAGTCCAGTGGGAGTTTTGATGAACATAATGCAGCCGGCCACCTACCTGCTCAATGGACAGGTGAAGGATCTCCACCCAAGCTGTAGGGATATAGACCTGGCAAAGCTGCCTAGGAGAGTCCAAACTCTCTCTCCTGCTAGCAGAGCCCTTCACTGCCGGCTCTGCTTTTTCTGCATTCTCTCCTCCTGACGTGTTTCCCAGCGGGTGCTTTCTGGTCCATTTAGCGCACTCTCCTCACCGTTCCCAGCAAAACCCATCCTCGTTCTTTCCTCTTCGCCCTCCTGCAGGTTGTTTCTGCAGTTTAAATACCTGCTTCTCGACTTCTCTGCATGTGTAAATGCTGGTCATCTCAAGGTGTATTTCAGCATGACAAGCATTTACTGAGTCTCTACTAGGTGCTGGATTTGGGCCAAGGTCTTAAAGGTTGTCACACCAAATGAAGTTCCTAATCTCAGAGAACTCACAACTGGAATGAAAGTGGCTCTCCAAATGGAGAGTTTGGTGGGTCAGGGAAAGAAACTCAGATTCCTTTCCCAGCTGCTCTGTAGCAGAATGCAAGAGGTCCCCGAGTTTAGTGTTATTTTCATCATTGCACCATAAGGAAACTATGGCTCAAAGAGAATGTTTCAAAGTCATCGAGATGGAATTCAAACCCAGGTCTAACTAACTCCAAAGCCTTTTTTCGCTCCTTTACCAGGTCACCTAGTGGCCGGAAAGGCAGACACTGGAATGACCAGCTGCGATCCAATGAGAGCAGTTCCAAAGCGTGCTCACATGCCACAGCGATGCAGGTGGAGAGGGCAATTGATTTGGCCTTGGTGAGGAGGTCTGGGAGAGGAAAATTAGCAGGGAAGAGAAGGTGCTCTCAGCCTTGAAGGATAAGAAGGTGCCAGCCTGGCAAAGACACTGCCACTCAAGCCTGTGCTGAGCATCTAGTTCATTTGATTCTTGCAACAACCCGATAAGGTTTATAAGAGAGAAAACAGGCTTAAGAAACTTAGCAAACTCAGCCGCGGTTACAGAGGTGGCACGTGGCACAGCCAGTATCCAAATTACACCTGTCTGCTCTCATAGTTCATGCTCTCAACTGTAAGGAAAGACACATTTAGGAACAAATACAACTAGACTGAGGCTTCCTCTTTAAATTTTATACCCTAGGCACCTCACTCACGTCGCCCCGTCCCAGCCCTGCGGGGAGTGATGGATTACGTGATCAGATGTGGATCTTAAAAAGATTATTCTGGCAGTCTCAGTGTATCTGTGATCTAAATGTGTTTCTTGTATGAACAGGAGTCATTTGAAAGAATTTCTTAAGAAACAAGGTGAATGTTATCAGCCATTGGCTTCTGTGCCTCCAGGGCAGAGTGTGGCTCACAGCCGTGGCTGCACATTGGAATCACCAAGGCAGTTAAACAAATACTGATGTTTGGGTCTCATGCCCAGAGATTCTGGTTTGCCTGGGTTTGAGGATCTTTAAAAACTCCCCAAGTGATTCTAATGTGCTACTGAATTGGAAAAGAACTGATTTAGTGACCAGAGGACAACAGCTGCACTTAAAACACTACCAGACAAGCAGGGTGCTTTACTGTGATGCTTTAAAGATACACTCATATATTTCAGGGTATAAAACAGGACCCCTGAGTCCTGGTCCGAGTGCTGACCTCCCTCACAGTGTCATCAAAGACCAGGCAATCGTAAAGGTCCACTGGGCATCGGTGTCCTGAGGTGACACGTAGGCTCTAATTTTCCATCCAGTTCTCCAATCCTATGAATCATGAAAGTCTAGGCTCCCCACCCCCACCGAAACTCAGTCTGATGTTCTACCAGGCACATGTCCTTTTCTGTGTCACCGCCTATCTCCTGCTGCATGTCAAAGTTCCTTCCACCTTCTGCAGCCGTGCAAAATAGACTGGCCTACGTTTGATATAAACTCACATGTGAAAGCAGGAGGAATTCTTGCTTCAGTTGGGCAAAATGCTTATTTTCAGGAAGCCATATAAATGATCAAGATGATAACAAGGAAAGGGTCAGCGGAGCGCAAAATGTGTAACAGGAAGAGCCTGGAGTGGGGTGCCAGGGGGCCTGGCTTGATGCGCCGGCTCTGCCGCTGCTGGCCGGCTGGTACCAGAACAATCACGGCATCTGTCTGAGCTCTGGGCTCCTTGCCTGGGGACAGACACAGTCATACCAGCCTTGCCGGGCTCTTGCAGTGACCTCAGTGAGGTCATATAGATTATAATCTGCTGAACAGCAGATTGTCAGGATGTCCTGAGTCCCTAGCAAATATTAGCTACATAAAGAAGTTGATGATGGTGAGGGCTCAGGAAAAGCAAGAGGTTATTTTCAGGCAGCAGAAGTTGTATTTGTTGAATCTGAAGTTTTTCCCTTTCATGCTGAACTCCTTTTGTAAAACAGGAGAGCTTTTTGCATCTCCCTGACACTACGGCAGACACCAGGAGAAAACACGATGCTTTTCTTTTCTTTGCTAAAATGATACTTTTTTCAAGGTCTCCTCTTGTGGATGCAGCTTTTCCTGACCACGCCAGCCCCCGTTCACTATTCTTTTGTCTGAACTCCCACACTTGGATTGTCTGTGTCTAAGAATTTTCCGGATGCTGTATTATTCACTCAGTGATTCAAGTGTATCAGTCTGTCTCCTAACCCAGACTGTTAAACTTCTTAAAGCCTCTCTAGTCCCTCCATCCCCTCTGCCACCATCACGCTCCATCTACCATGAAGTAGGCCTTACGTAATTCACAGAATTATCACAAGGGAGCCAGGTGACTTCTCTGGCTTCTGCTTTAAGTTGAAACCTTAAACTTTTCCAGCAACTCAGGCAGTGGCCCAGGAATTAGAACATATCTCATTGGAAATTACTGCAAGGATGTGGGACAGTGAGATGCAGCACTGGTACTGTTGCTAACTTCTAACTTCTAATCCTGTTTCTAACGAATGTGATTTTCTTCCACATATTTGGAGACAGTGATTGTGTCTTCTTATAGTTCTGTTTCCCTCATGGGTGGTGGGACATTGATGGCACCTGGGGTGACGTGGCAGAGCTTCGCCATCGTCTCCTTCAGCCTCCTCCCCCAAGCCACTGGAAGTAAGGATTGTGCTTGCTCCGCAAACACAGCTGGGGGATAGGTCTTCCAGCTCTCTTCCTGCTGCCCACGCCTCCCTTGGCTGCAGCGCCCCGCCCCTCCTTTGTAGGAAATCAGGAGCTGGTTCTGCTCTCCTCTGCAACCATTCTTAACGCAGTTCTCAGCTACATCCCTGGGGGCGTGCTACCCCTCATCAATCAATAACCATCTTGAAATACTGATCCACAAATAAGCACAATTAAGTATGGTGTAGTAGAAAGAACATGGACATTGGAGTCAAATAGACCTGGGTTTAAATCTGCCTCTGGGTGACTCTCTCAGCCTCAGTTTTCACCTCTGAATAATGGGTTATTGCATGGATTAAAGGTAATGTATATAGGGCACCTGGCACATGGTGGCCCTTTTATAAATGCTTGTCTGTGTATTACCTGTGTTAAACGTCTTGTTAGTTTAGCAATCAAGCTTATTGTCAATGATTCTCAACGGTTAGAAGACTTGTGGGAGAAAGAGTGGCACTTAGAGCCGTCTGCACCAGCAGTGAGTAACGAGCCACTGTTTCTGCCAGGGGTGGGTCTCGGATGTGAGCATTGTTGAGTCAGAAAAAAAAATGCACACTCTCTGCCAAATAGGTAAATACATCTTTCTCTCTTTATTCAAGTCATTAATAAGTATGAAACAGGGTAGGGCTTTTTAATGAACCCCATGATATGTCACTAGAAATACAACTGTGGATTGATACCAAATTATAAAGATTACCCAGTAATTTTGGGGTCAAGTTGCTTCAGCAGCCGTCAGTCTCTCTAAATGAATCATTACTGTTCAGCTTACATTTCCCTATTTTCTCTAGAAGGATCGCGTGATAAACTTAGGAACTAGCTGATTTATTTCTGATTAGCTCATTGCTGGAATATAGTAGTCTTTATTGAGTTTAAAAAAATTTTTTTTTAATTTCCTAACCTTCAAACAAGTAAAATCACACTTCAGAATTGCCATAGGGTATAGAAGCGAGATTGGTAGGGAGACTCTAAAAGTTAACATTTGTCTTTTTATTAGACTTCTTAAAAAATTTAGAATCCTCATAGAAGAAATTTGTTTTAAAAAAATAGTGCAGAAATGGTTCCCCCAGAAGTGTTTACTGGGAAGTCCTGAAGAGTTTCACAAGAAAATTAAATCAAAAACATACCTCGCTTCCTTCAGATTCTCACTCTTGGAATTTTCGATGGTGCTTGGTGTTCTTCAAAGTGAAACTTTTCACTGGAGAGACCCCGCCAGGCCTGACTCTGTGGTCAGCTTTCTTACCAAGACATGTGCAGGAGCTCCCTATAAATAAACCCCGGGAACCATTAAGTTTAACTGAAGCTTCCCTTGGACAGATTCCTCTGGCGCCATCAGCAGGAGCACCGGCAGCTCCCTCCTGCTGGGTTGTTTGATGCAGCTCTTAGACACGTGGTCAGGAATCGTTCCCAGTGTGTGTGCAGTCTTGTTCTACCAGGAAGCCCAGCCCTGATTTTATTAGTCCAGTCAGTACGTTTTCCATGATCTCAGGGAAGATCATCAACCTCACAAACTAAAAGCAAAATTTAGTCCTTTAATCAAAATTAAAGGGAAAAAACGTTTCACTGCATTTTGTGCGTGATGTGGGGGAAGGAAGAGGTGAGAGGGTTACTGAGAAACCAGAGGAGCTTGGGAATTGGTGATTCAGCTTCCCACCGGCAGTAAGATCAGGAGGTAGCACTTCTTTGAGTTTCACTGTTAGTTCATTGCATTGTCCTTCTTGTGAGGGGCAGGCCCCCCCACTCCGCATCCCCGACATACACACACGCATCTGTCCAGTAGTCTAGGCTGTGAGCTCCTTACTGTTGGCTAGTGTCGCTCCGGACACTTGGTAGACCTTCAGTAAATGCTTGTTCAGTGAGCAAAGGAGTGAATGGAGACAGGAACTGAATCTTTTTAATATATTTTTATTGAAGTATAGTCGGTTTAAGGAATTGCTATCATCGCTTTCCTTATCCCTCCCACAGTGAGAGCGATCCAGGCACACACACAGCAGGTGCTCAGTCCATGCGAGCTGTGTGGATGGACGTGTGGATGGAGACTGGGGCCTGATGCGGCGTTCAGATAGGGGATGGGATGAAGAAAAGGAACAGAGTGAGAATATCGCCGTTGCTGTCTGGACATAGGAACCCCTTAAATGCATGTCTGTTGCTTATAGTATGTTGTTTATTTAAAAACAAAACAGAACTCTAGTGGGACATAATTCAGTGCCATCTTATCCAGGGGCAAGAAAAAGTCAGAAACAAGATCTTAGTGAAAAACGAAAATGCTTTAAGGCAGATTTTAAAGCTTGTTAGAAAAGAGACCTTGTGAATTATGATATTAGTGGAACAGATTACTATGGTATGTTGATTAGGGTGGTTTCATTAAGACATTTTTTTTTCACATTCTCTATTTCCATCTTGTAAAACCTGGATTTCTTTATTATGCAAGCAATGCAGGTAAACCCTAAGGAGGATGACCCGTTTTAACCCCCTGTGCCCCTGTTCAATGTTCCGCAGGTGGTGAATGTTGTGGGCGGGGCCTCCTTTCTGGATGCCGTCACGCCCATGGACTACTTCCCCGGATTAAATTTGGAAGGTTATCCAAACAGAGACAGCACAAAGTATGCTGAGATTTATGGCATTCCGTCGGCTCACACGTTGTTACGGGGGACACTGAGGTACAAGGTAAATGGCTCCACTGGAGATGAAACATGTTGCCTGTTTTGGTGTAAGTAAATACTTAATTTTTCTTGGTAATCAAAATGACTAAGATGATAAACTAGCTTGCAGTCTCTCTCGGGACTCTTCTGGTTGATTGTTTCAGGAGACAACTCAAAACAGCAGGAACAGAGAGGGAAGTTTTGACTCATGAAAAGTGGGGGTAGATGAAGGGCCAGCTTCAGGTGTAGTGAGATTTGAGGGTGAAGTGACCTCACCGGGACATGGTTTCTCTTCACCTGTCACCCTCTTCCTGCCAGCGTTGGTTGCGGCCCCCTTTCCGCACGACAGCAGGGGGTGGCAGCATCCCTAGCCTCTTAGGTTCACATCCTGTGGGAAGGACAAAGTACATCTTCATGGTTAAGAGTACAGTTTTTGTCTCCTAAGCCCCTGAGGTCAGTGGGATGGAAGGTACCGGTCAGCATTGGCTTCTGTTTTATGTCCCTGATGCTGAGGATTTATTCAGTGTCACTTTCCACAAAGCAAATCTGAAATGTTTTTTAGCACAAAACGAAGTATAGCTTCTACATTTTTCATCACAAAGGAGTGGTTACAGGTGTGACCAGATTAATACAGCTCGTGTAATAGTTCCCTAGGGCTGTTACAACAAATTACCACAAACAGTGTGCCTTAAGACAACAGAAATGAATTCTCTCACCATCCAGGAGGTCACAGTCTGAAATTAAGATGTGGGTAGAGTTGGTGCCTTCCGGAAGCTTTGAGGGAGAAACTCTCCCTTGCCACGCTCTCCTCCCTTCCAGTGGTTGTGGGCAATTCTCAGTGTTCTTTAACTTGCAGATGCTGATCCATCTCTGCCTCCATCTTCATATCACCTTCTCTGGTTTGTGTCTCTGTGTCCTCTCCTCTTCTTATGAGGACATCAGTCATTGGATTTTGGACCCACCATGAATATAAGCTGATTTCATATTGAGATCCTCAACTAATTATATCTGCAAAGATCCAAGTCAGGTCATACTCTGAGGTTCTGGGAGACCATGAATTATGAGGGGACACTCAACCCACTAGAGCCAACTTACCTAAAATACATAGATCTTTGAAAATTAGAGATCTGATTTCAGATCTCTCTGCCCTGTAAGATTTCCTGGTACCTGTACTCTCCACAACGTGATGTCCTCACTGTCCAGGAATCAAATGAATTGTTGGTGATGACATCCTGAGATCTAAGAACCAGGGATGTTTCACAAGCCTTTGGCACAGCAGAAATTCTGGTGTGAACTGAAGCCACACCATCTCCACATCTGGCAGATTTTGATTCTGATTTCTTTAATTTGTTCTAAGATTATTAGGTAGTGACTTTTAGGGGAGGAGGGAGGTTCAGAAGTTAGGATTTTCTGATAGCTTTAGGTATAGTCTCTTGCCAAACATATACATCCAGGAATAGAGGATTTTCAGAGATTTAAAATTAAATAAAGCTCTCAAGAATATGTATAGATAAGTCATCCCCACAGAACCCCAGAGGATGGAAGATGTCAGAGTGTTTGTATCCATGAGGGCCACCACCCTGAGCAATGTCAGCAACCCTTCGGTAACGCAAATATTCTTTCCAGCATAAGAGATGAGACCCTGTTGTCCAAGTATGGCAGGGTGCTGCTCTCCTGCACCTGCCTGTCACCTGATCCCTCCAGCTCCAGCTTGGTGTCACCTCCTCATGGGGTCTTTCTTATCTTCTCTCCTTGACTCCCTCCCCCACATCTACGTGAATTTCCCTCCTCTGTGTTCCCATGGCTCTGTGTTGACCCCATCCTAGCACCTCTGACATCCCTCTGTGGTGTGGTCACCAATGGCCACGCAGTTCTGCTCACCAGGTGCCAGGCCTCCTTTGTTCGAGTTATCTGACCCTGTTCCTGGACTCTCGTTTCCTCGCTGGTGGGGACGGCACTGTTCATCTCTGGGGCCTCAGCCCCTAGCCCAAGTCCCACACGTGGCAGCAGTGTGCTAAGTACTATTGATAAATGGATACACATAATAAATTCATTGCTAGAGGTCACTGTAAAAATGTATTTCTGAGATGAAGAAATAGCTTGGAAAAATTGCAGCATTTGGATGATGTTGGAAGAGAGAGTCTCTGGCATTTGTCAGATCCTAGAAGCAAGCTGGGGGTATTGCTTTTTTGTTTCTCCTCTTTGAAATTTATTTACATTGGGTTAGGGTTAGAGCAAATAAATGTGAATTCTTTAATTAGTAACCTTTCAACAGTTTGAATAATACAACCTTCCAGAAATGTGGAGATTCATACATTAAATTGTGGAATATCCAATGGCGACAGGCACTATTTTATAACCAAACAGCTTTACGGCTTCCTGGAATAACTCCCTGCCCTTTGTCCTTCCTCCACTTCCTTCCCCTCCTCCTCCTCCTTTCCCTCTCTCTCTGTAACTGCAGAAGCTATAAAGCCACTTATTCTGACCGTCCCATTCCCACCCCCACCCCCACCCCCACGATTTGCTCACAGGAGAATGTACATCATGGTCTTCCTTCACTTCACAGTCATTCAGAACCTATTCATCGAGTCATTGGTTCTCTTTCAGCATATGGAGTGATGGATAATGGAGTGATGGATAATGGAGTGAGGGCGTGGCGAGGAAGGGGACACGGACACACACACATTCTCTCTCTCACACACAGTCACACGCTTTCTATTCCTACAGTCCAGCAGCTGAATAGACAGTTAGTTACAGTTTGCATTAAGTGCCATTATAGACGTTTGTACACAATGCTATAGGAATGCAGAGAGGAGGGGAGAGCCCTCTCACCGGGGGGGCTCAGGAGGTGTGCTGAGCTGGGTCTTGAGGGAGGAGTAAACACTTCACGGGTGAGAAAGGGTGGCCGCTACATGCCAGGCACGGGAGCAGCGTGCACCGAGGCCCGTGTCTCTGCAAGGGCACAGCGGCTTGTCTGGGGAACGGCGAGGGGTGGAGGTGATGCTCAGTAAGTCAGGCGGGAGGGGTGTATTGGGATGGGTTTTACATCACATGCCAAGGATTTCAGACTTGTCCTGTAGAGCACGAAGGACACATGAGGAATTTTTATTTTAGAAAAGTCTCTCTAATTCCTGCCTTCTCCCCTGCCTGCTGTGTGCGTTAGGATATTGGCTCTTCGTTGGTAGAATGGATGGTCTGCTTTGGGGATATGCTTACAAGCTCTGTCTTGCGTTATAAGAAAGAGAACAACTGTTCTATTAAATACTATTCTGCTGACCTGAAAGCATATAACACAAGAGGAAATTTGCCCTTATCCTCTCAGAAAGCGCCCCTCACGTGTTACCCGGAAACAAAAGTGATGACCCAAGTTTTGCAAGGTCTCTTATGTAAACCGGTGGAGTTGTGACACTACTGATTTTGGTTTGAAGCTGAAGGTGGCTGCATCCTTACTAGCAACACAAATGGCTGTTTTCAGCCTGTTTCCTAAATGAATGACAAAGATAGACCCCTCTTTTCCCAAAGGCTTTTTGATTTTTTTTTTCTTTGAAGAAGAACATTTTTATATATTGCTTAATAACTCTTGTTATAGGGCTATGCCAAAGCCTTGAATGGATTTGTAAAACTGGGTCTTATAAACAGAGATGCGTTTCCTGCCCTTCGACCTGAGGCCAACCCGCTCACCTGGGTGAGTGACTCCATGTTATACACTGCCTGCTGCTCTTCAGAATGCCTTCGGAAATGGCCAGGTTTGAACTTTGGTTTGGGCCAGCAGAGAACCAGTTCTGTGGCTTATGTTCAGGAGATTCAGCCCTCCCCCCAGAGCCCCCTTTCCCTTCACTATTATGGGCGGATGGAGAGAACATGGTGGCCGGCTCGTGGGGCCTGTTTCCTGCAGCTGCGACCGCTTGATTGCTCCCTCAGCCCTGGGTAGAGGTGGACGTGCTCTCTGCCTTGTGCTTTGGGCTCTGCCACTTGTCTAACTAGTGACCCAGTGACAGCAGTTAAGCTTGGGCCTCCTGCAACTGTTAAGGGCAGGAGGGCTGCTGGTGGTATCATGGAACTGGATTCCCAACCCCCGAGTCCCATTAGTTCTTTCATTTGGCCGTTTGTAGCCATGAGTAACTTGAATCTTTAATCGCTGAGTTTACGCCCATGTCAGTGTTGTATTGAAATCCTAGGGTCTTAGGGTTGGCAGGCACTTGGGACGCTTGGGACTGAATGCAAAGCAGAGTTTCCGCCAGCTCCCTGAATGAACTTGTTACTAGCTGGCCGTCCAGCTTAAATTAATGCACACAGACTGCAGTAGAAACGCTGGGCGTTTATCACAAGGAGAAAGGAATCAATGTTGTAAATCCCAGCGTCTCACAGGTGCTTCGGTATTGTTGTTGGCCAGTTGTTTTTAAACTTAGGTTTTTTTGTGTATCTGAGAGCCTTTTCAGTCTAAGTTTCAACTTTCATGAATTTGCTTGTTGGACAGGAGAGGGCAAGCATCTCCGGAGGGAATCTGGTGTCGAGGCGGTTTGGCTGGGAAGGTTGTTGCAGGCGTTCTTGGGGCTGGTCCTCGTGTCTTGCAGCAATAGTCTAGGACAGAGGCGGACAAACTTTTTTTTTTGTAAAAGATTGTAAATTTATTATTAGGTTTATGGGCCATATAGTTTATGTCTGACCTCTCAGTTCTTATGTATAAACAATACATAAACAACAAGAACAAAAAACCATGGCTGTGTTCCAATAAAATTTTTTCATTTATAAAACCAGGTGGTGAGCTGAGTTTGGCCCGTGAACTAGTTTGCTGATCCTTAATCTAGAGCATAACTTTACCCTTGAGAGTCTGGACAAAGTCTTGTTTAGGAAGTAGGAAAAGCTATGACCACCGTTTATATGTTCTTCCCTTGAGATTTTATTATCTGCAAGGTCTTTCTCATTTCTTGAACCTATAAAAGAATGCTGGTTGCTACTAGCAACCACAGCAATAAGCCCCTTCCATTCTATCCTGGCCAAAATCAGCCTCTGGAGGGTGAGACTTAATGGGTGAAAAAGTGATGGAGAGGCTGTGCAAAGGCAGGCAATGTGGTGGGAAATAGGGTATCACCTTTTTAGTATTGATTTAATGTTATGACCCATTCTGATTGCTGAAATATTATTCTGAAATACCACATGTGTATTGATGCATGGGTATGCAGATGTGTGTACGCACTTGTATGTGTCACCGTTCACTCTTTCTAATTATTCCTAATTTAAAATTTGAAGAACATTTGAGGTCCAGTGTCTTAATATGATCATTTCTCAACTTAGCTTTTATTTTATTAGGAGCTTAGAATTTTTGTCTTTATTCGTCTAACCAGAGAGAACTCCTCTGTGGCCTGGTTGGGATTGCACCCACCTCCAAGTGTGATGCGCTCAAGGAAGCTGTCTTTAAGAAGCTGGGAGGAGACCACACTCAGCTGGAGGCTGCTGAATGGTAGGCACGCACCAATCAACTTAGAGCGAAATACTGGATCAATGATCACTCCGTCCTTTCTAGTCAAAGAAAAGTCAAGATAGAATTAAACACTTCACATTGTCTTTGATTAATTTGCTGCTCTAATGTTGGCCCATTGTAGAGAGACAGCTACGTACCATGTTCATGTGGGGATAAAAAGCAGATAAAGAGAGACATTCGATGGCAGTTATAACTTGGGAAATACTTGTTTAGAATACTTCAGTGCTCGGTTCCCGAGAAAGGTGGGATGCTTTTTCTCTCCTGCAGGAGATTCTCCCAGTCTTCCTTTAACTGCTTTAAAACACTTACTCATGTGGCTGCGGCACATTATGTTGGTATCCTTGATGTGGGAGAACTAACCTGCAAATCAGACTCATAAAAACTTGGCAATAGTGAATGCTTACAGTGTGTCTGTCCCGGCTCCAGAGAGCACTCCTGGGGGTGGGAGTCTGGGGATGATTCTGAAGGTTAAAACATTACTATTGCTATTATTATTCTATAAGCACTCAGGAGTCCTATAGCTTGGACTGTCAACTTGTGATTCTGCCCTTTCAAGATAAAATCCAGTGAGCGCTCCCTTCCGCTTCCCGGGTGAGAGTATGAGCAGGACTGAACTAATGCAGCCATCTCTTGTGCCTCCCAGGTTGGGCTTACTCGGGGACGAGCAAGTCCCTCAGGCAGAGTCTCTCGTGGACGCCCTCTCCAAGCATCTGGCCGTGAGACTTTCCTATGGTAAGGCCACGGGCTACTAGCTAAACCTCCCAGGAGAAGACTCATAAGAACTAGTGAATTAGATCGGAGGGCCGGAGCCACACGGTGGGAATGGGGAGGCACGGTGTGAGGGAAAGAGCGCTTGGACTATTTTTCCAGAGGGGAGAATAAGAGAGCGAGTAAGTCAGAAAGAACTTGGGTCATATGGCAAAGGAACAAAATCATTAGTTTGACTTTTACTGTGTAACATATTGGGGAAATGCTGAAGGGACATTCTGGGGACAAGCGGGGGAGGCCTCTGCGGAGGGGCCCTCGTGTCGGTAGCCAAACTATAGTGACACCAACCTGGACAGAGTAGCCCGATCACGGTTATCATTTCCTGGAGTTTTTTATGTGGTCTCTAGGCTAAAGAGCAGTGTACCTAATTGTCCACGGAGAGCGTGTATAAAGGGAAGCGAAACGAGAGCAGAAGGCCAGGAGCAGCAGATGAAATATGATTTTGGAGTTTCCATGATAATGACATTTTGAAATGTCTGTTTATTTATTTGAAGGCCCTGGAGAGAGAGACATGATTGTGATGAGAGACAGCTTTGGAATCAGGCATCCTTCTGGACATTTAGAAAGTAAAACAATTGATCTTGTGGTTTATGGGGATGTCAATGGCTTTTCAGCCATGGCTAAAACTGTGGGGTTACCCACTGCTATGGCGGCCAAGATGCTACTTGATGGTAAGTTCTTTCATCGGAGGACCGAGTCTGTCTCCCAATCATCTACAGGTCTTTCAGTGCCTGGACAGCAAATAATTCCTGGCTTTTCACTAAAAGTGAGCCATCTCAGAAGATCCTTCATCTTTGAGGAAGGGGTTGTCATCCCTAGTTCATAGGGTTGCTGTGATGCTAACGAATACATAAAGCTCCTACTGCACAGAGGGGCCCCTAGGGAATGTTAACTGCCTTTCTTTCTTTCCTTGGCTTTTTTTTTTTTTTTTGTATTTTAGGGGTGATAATGCTAAAATAGCAGAGGATATTTACTTCCAAACTTCAAAAATGTAGACCATGTTTTATCAACCTTCATATCTCAGTAAATTATCAATACTCATTAAATATTTTAGACTAAAAGAATTCAAATTTCAACTCTCCACTCTCCCCTTAGGATCACAAATACTTTTTTTTTTAATAGACTTTATTCTTTTAGGGCAGTTTCAGGTTCACAACAGAATTGAGCAGAAAATACACAGTTCCCACATAGCCCTCGCCACCCACACATATGTACTCCCCTACGTCAACCTCCCTCATCAGTGTGGCATATTTGGTACAATCAATGAACCAACGTGGGCACATTATTATCAACCAAAGTCCACAGTTTACATTAGGGTTCACTCTTGATGTTGCACATTCTGTGGGTTTTGACAAATACATGATGGCATATAGCCACTATAGATAGTATCATACAGAATAATTTCATTGCCCTAAAAATCCTTTGTGCTCCATCTATTTATTCCTCCCTCGCATATACTTTTAATAAACATTACCTCTGAATATAACACCCCGTTTGGCCCTTGTGAAGGTATGAAGTGAGGTAAAAAACATCAAGGCATATAAATGTGAAATCATGAGAAGACACACCTATAACAGCATATCAGCTGATATCAGAACAAACCACCTACTTAGTTACCGAGGAACCGGAGTGAGCAAATGGTAAAGGAGGAGGTCTTCAGGGCCTTGAAGGAAAGTGCCTGACTTACTTTTCCAGCTGTCCTAACAGATGCCCGTGCCCAGACGACCAGACTGGCTTTAATTTTATCCTGCTGGTGTTAATGCTTTTTAAAAAATGACACCAGCCAGTAAAACACACCAGTTAGGTTGACTTTACCTTCCTAGCATACTTTTCTCTGATTTGGTACTTAATGTAGTTAAGTGTGTAAATTCAGACACTGTCCCTAAGTCCAGCTGTGCTTTCAATTAACCCCCTTTCCTTACGGAGTATTAATAATTCAGCAGGGCCGTGAAAGCAGCTATTTTAAAAAATCCCCAGGCCTCTAACTGTTCGTTGACTTGGAGTTTACCACTGTATGGAAACCCTTGCTGTAGAAATTAGCCCTTAATACCACCTTTAAAAATGGTAACTACAAATTTATTTTCTTCCAGATGAAATTCAAGCTAAAGGCCTGATGGGGCCCTTTTCAAAGGAGATCTATGGGCCAATATTGGAGCGAATTAAAGCAGAGGGCATTATGCATACTACACGGAGCACAGTCAAAGCGTAATTGAGAATTATATTTTGTTTTTAACCTTCTCAGGCAACGTGGCTCTGAACATTTGTGCAACAAACATGCTTGCTAACGTGCTGTTTTAAAATATAAAGCATGATATGTTTTGATTAAGTCAATACAATAGTGTTTTTGAAATATAAATCTCTATTTTAATATGAAGACACTTGGCTCAAGAGACGTTGGTAATGCCAGAAAACATTAATAATTCTATCATGTATTTTTTTCCCATGTATGTAAAAGCACGAATGATTGTGCTATATGTTAATTTATTATATAACTTTTTTCTTATAGGAATATATTTTCCTATAATCAGCAGATGAAGTTTTATTTTATCTTTTCAGGAAGATAAAGTTTCTTCATGCTGCTTTCTTTTTGTATTTTTAAAATTGAGTCAGTTAGATGCTTCTAGATTACTTACCTGCAAACCTTTGCAGTATTGCTTTTTTTTTTGCCTTTTTTGTTAAAATTACGATTTATTTAGAAAATGATATTTCTTGTAGTTTTCTTTTGAGTATTTGGAAAAGGAAATTGGTAAGATTAAATCAAAATCCACATGATCACCTTACTAGGCACAGAAAAAGCATTTAAGTGAATCCAACACCTTTTCATGATAAAAACACTTAACAAACTAGGAATAGAAGGGAACTTCTTCAACCTGACAAAGGGCATCTATGAATAACCTGTGGCTAATGTCAGACTTAATGATGAAAGACTGAAGGATTTCCCCCTAAAATCAGAGGCAAGACAAGGGTGCTTGCTCTTGCCACTTCTATGCAACTTATACTAGAAGGTCCAGCTGGGGTAATTAGGCAAGAAAATGAAATTAAAGACTTCCAGATATTAGAAAGGAAGCAGTAAAACTCTCTCTATTTGCAGATGGTATGATCTTACACATAGAAAATCCAAAAGAGTAAGAAACTATTAGAATTAATGCATGAGTTCAGCAAAGTTGCAGGATACAAGATTAATATTCAAAAGTTGATTGTGTTTGCATACAGTGTCAATGAATGAAACAAAAGTATTATTAAGAAAATAATTCTAAGAAAAAGTGTCAAGAAGGAATAGATTGAGAGTTCAGAAATAACTTATATTATGGTCAATTGAGTTTTTGAAAAAGGTGCTTAGACAATTCAATAGAGGAAAATAGTCTTTTCATCAAATATTCACATGCAGGAGAATCGGGTTGGACTCCCTACCTCACAGCACATATGAAAAATTAACTCAAAATGGACCAAAGACCTTAAATAGAAGAGCAGACATGAAACTTTTAGATGAAATCATAGGTGTAAATTTCCAAGGCCTTAGATTAGACAATGGTCTCTTAAATAATGACACCAAAGCACAAGCAACAAAAGGAAGAAAATAGGTAAATTGGATATTGGAATTTAAAACTTCTGTGCTTCCAAGGATACCATCAAGAAGGCAAAAGACGACCTGCAGAATGAGAGACAGTTTTTGCAAATCATTTAGAAAGTAAGAGAAGAACTTGTATGTTCAATTAAAAGATAGCCTAATTTAAAAAAAAATGGACCAAGGATTAGAATTGACAGTTCTCCAAAGAAGATATACAAAAAACCAATAAACACATGAAGAGATGCTCAGCATACATTAGCTATCAGGGAAATAACAAATCAAACCAACAATGAGATACCACTTCAAAACCACCAACATGGCTATTATGAAAAAAATTATAAGTGTTATTGGTGAAGATGTGGAGAAATTTGAACCTTCATAAACTGCTGGCAGAAAATAAAATGATGCAGCTGCTTGGGAAAACAGTTCGGCAGTTTCTCAGATGGGAAAACAGTTACCATGTGATCCAGTGATTCCACTCTTAGGTATATACCCAAGAGAAATGAAAATATGTTCACACACCAGCTTGTAAACAGATGTTCATAGCAGCGTTAGTCAGAATAGCCAGAAATCAAAGCAAGACAAATGTCCATCAACTAGTAAATGAACAAACAAAATGTGGCATATCCATACAATGGAGTATTACTTGACAATGAAGAAGAAATTAAGCACTGATACATGTTACAACATGGATAAACTTTGAAAGCATTATGCTTAGTGGAAGACGCCAGGCATGAAAAGCCACATGTATGATTTCATTTGTATGAAATGTCCAGAATAGTCGAATCTCTATATAGAGAAACTAGATTAGTGGTTGCCTAGGACTGGGGTTTTTTGGGGGAATGTGGGAGCGACTGCTGATGAGTTTGGGGTTTTTTGGGGGGTGATGAAAATGTAGAGTTGATGGTAGTAGTGGTGGCACAACTCTGTAAATACACTAAAAAATCACTGACTTGTATATTTTGTGTGAATTGTATGGGATGTGAATTATATCTGAAGTTGTACAAATAAAGCTTTTTTTTTCTCCTTGGAGAAAAAAATGTTTGTCTTTAGGAATATAAATTAAACTTTCTGCTGGACTGTGCTCATCTTCTGGCCTATGAAATGAATTTTGCCCTTGAAATAAGCATTATTATATGTGGGACATAATGGCAGCTGAGGAAACATCTGTGCAATTTGAAAAGGATCAAAGTTGATTCAGGCCTGGTCCCAACCTGTCAAAAATAACATGTGGAGATCAGTAATCTATTAATGAGTTAAAGACACATCTGTAATGGCAGTTTTTTACCACAACACCGAGTATAACATGATCAGTTAGGAAGTACAACTTGTGTGCACCAATCCCACCCCCCAGTCTGGAAGAGCGCCCAGATGGCGTGGGGAGTGGGGCACTAGCTCCTGGGGTGGGAGGGGGGAACCCATGGAGACAATATAATTAACTGGTCTGGGCTTTATGGTAATATTGAGTGATAAAGGGGTTATGCTTGAAGAGGAGGTCTAACATCAGTGCTGGAAAGGGGAAGGCCAGTAAGCTGGAGTAGAGACAGGTGGAGTCAAAACACTGTGTTACTGGCTTGCAGTAAGTTTTGCAGCACAATTTCATAATAGAGGTGGTGGTGGTAGGATCTGGGTGTGGATGGATAGATTATAGTATAAGCATATGGCCCTCGAGCCCCAGTTCGCGAACCTCTCTTGTAACCGTTTGGGTAGACTTAATACTCAGATCTTTTTGCCTTTTTTGCCCCCCCACCCCACCCCACCGGGAACACCGATGCGTGTATTTCCAGCTTTCCCTATCCGAGACTCATGAGACGCGAGAAGCTTCTTTTCGGAGAAGCAGTGTGATTGGTTCTACAACATACCGGCCGTTTCCTTTTCCATAAGGTGAGGGTAGCAGTAACTCGCAGGATGGTTATAAAGGTCAGTGAGAGAATGTGAGAGGAGAGCCGGACAGCTAGTGTTCAGAAACCCTCGCGTTCTTCACTCTTTTGCAGTAACATTTCTGCTTGAAGTTTCTATTAAAGATAGTGAGTTTTAGCTTTGAGATTATTTTCACTCTTTTGGATACTTTGGAAGACCCCTCCGGGATCCTCATGCTTCTCAGACAAGCCATGGCTGTGTCTGCTCCAAAAAGAGAATCGTAAAGTGGCTGTGGAGGGAAAGGACCACGTTCGTCGTGCAGCCAGGCCTCTGACCTTACGGAAGAGAAAACACGTCTCACAGAAGTTAAATGACTTGCCTAAGGGGACAGGACTTACTATGGAAATTTGATCGTCATTCAGAGACTCAGGATACTCTGAACTTGGGAAAGAACTCTGAGTTAGAAAACCTCTCTTCCTGTGGGTTCTTAGGGCCACTACTATCCCACGTGATGCCTTTAAAAAATACTTGTTTTGGGGGAGCAGCTACATTTTTTTTAACTTATTCATATTTAATGGAGGTGCTGGGGTCTGAACTCAGGACCTTGTGCGCGTGCTAGGGGCAAGCACTCCACCACTGAGCTATAACCTCCCCTTATGATTCCTTTTTGAGAATCAGGGAAGGGCACTCCTTCAAGACACTTCTATCTGTCAAAAAATCGTCAGATGTGTAATTTATTAGAGCAATACACTTTACTACTGTCTGATGGGAAAATGTCATAATAAATATTAATCATTATATACATGTCATAATAAATATTAAGCATATTAAATAAATGCCATAATAAATATTCAATGTCTATGATGTGATTAGCTGCCCCCTAGATGCAGGGCACAATTTGTATAGCCCTGCGAAGTAGCCAATCTTATCCTTGTATGTTGTATAGATCAGCTTTCTTTAAGATGGTTCACATTTGTTGATGGTTTGCACTGGAACGACATTGACCAGACCTGAATTCTGGAAAGGATCCAGTGAGAAAGGCTGCCTGTTTGGAAGGAATATTTGTTAGTCACTGACAGTTACTCTAATACCTTCCTATTTCCAATTCTTTTTCAGTCCTCACATTCATTTTTAATTTTTAAAAAATTAGCCAAGTATTACAAAACATGGGGTTAAGCCCTAACTTGCAAGGTCATTGGGTTCTGCCCCTCTGGTTTGCATCATCGGTGTGCTAAAGTAGGAGGTTTCCAGTGTCTTCCAGTGTTGATTGATAATGGGTACCACATCACTGGATAACAAATTTCTAAACCCCTGGGAGCCTCACTCCAAGGCTGTGAGCCTGACAAAACTGCAGTGATGCAGTTCTGTCTTTGATTGAAGATGATTCTGGGTTGTTACCACGCATAACTAAATCAGCAGCCCAGCCCTTGGCTTCAATAATCTGAGTTCAAGTTCTTTGGAATGAGGTTCTTTGTGAAGCCGGCACTGGGCGAAGCAAGCAGCCACACCTGATCCGAACCCCCCACCCCAATAATTCCGATAGAGAAGAAACATGCTTGCCTCATTAGCAAACTACTGAAAATGAGGCTTCTTCTTAAGTTGAGAGAAATACTTAAAAAGAGGTAGAAATCAGATGGGAGTTTAGCAGAGGAAAGAAACTGGAGTAGGTGCTGTGAAACATGAAGAAGACCAAGGCAAAACATGAGGGAACTGCAAATCGCAGTGGCGTGGGTTGTTAGAATACTTTAATGTTTGAAAACGTAAATATTTTGTTTGGCACGGTGTGGTTCTTTTTATTTTCTGGTCTATGAAATTTGACATTTAACATTGTCTGAAATGGGGAAAATGGTTCAATACATAAGATGTTTAGTGACGAGGGTGGTCCTATTCAGCCTCCTATTCATCTGCCTGTCTGTTAAATGGAGATGCTCTTCAGAGTTCATTCCAGCTTCTGTTTTCTTTATAGATGTTCTCTCTGTGTGCATGCAGCCTGCTCTATGGCTTTGAATATCATCTATATCTCTCATGAATTCCTGCCTTTCTCACCTAAGCTTCAGAGTATATATGCATCTACCTCTGGACATCTCTATTTGGATGTCTCCTGGTCTTTTAAACTCAATGTAGATTTAAGAGTTTATGGTATAAACTGGTGTTTCTCAGTGGGGCCACTCTTAAGAATATCCCCCCAAACTAATTTTTCCACCTGATTACATGTCTCAGAAAATGGCAACCACCATCTTCCTTGCTGCTCTGGATGAAGCATCAAGGAATGCTTCCTTTTCTCTCATTCCCACATTCAACAAACACATAGCTGGCCTCTGTCTTCTAAATCTTGTCTGAGGGTATCTACAGGGTGATCAGCAATTCAGCAGGGGTAAGCAAATACATAATGTATGTTTTATTACAATATCACCAGGCATGCTAAAATAATATCTATGTTTCCAAACATGGCTTCCTATGTTTGGTGGAACATGATTCACATCCAGAACCCTAGCTGCAAGGGAGTCTGGGAAATAAAGTTTATGGTTTTATTAGCTTGGAAATACAAGACGAGTTCTGGTTACTCTCACTGTGTAACCAGCTACCACAAAATATAATGGCATAAACAGTGATTTATTTTGCTCATCAATCTGCAATTCGAGCATGGCTCAGTGGGAACAGCTTGTCTTTGCTTCACACAGTCTCATTTGGGGTATGTTGGCTGGTAGCTGGGGATTCCATTTCAAGACAGCTTGCTCACATAGCAGGCAAATTGGTTCTATCTGGAAGCTCAGGATAAGGCCTTGGTTTCTTTCCACACGTGTCTTCTCGTGTGTGGGTCTGTCAAGGGATGATGGTACTGTTCTAAGAGTGAACTATCCCAAGAGATCCAGGCAGAAGCTATATTGCCTTTTATGACTTAGCCTCAGAAATCACATAGCATCACTTTCATTGTAGTCACAAGTCCACCCAGATTCAAGGGAAGGAATCGTAAACCCCACTTCTCAATGGAATGAGTTTCAAAGGGTCACACGTGGGCTGAAAGACATGGTTGGGCTATTTTTGGAAAATACAACCTGCCCCTGGAAAGCCCCTAGAAGGACAGTGGCATGTGGGTGGATTCTGTGATTACACAGTAATGACCCATAGTTATCAATTTTTCCTCACTGGCCTTAATTATTTTCTAAGCATTTCAGTTTTTGTCTAGGTGGTTCTTTGAATCTTTTTATATATCCCTGTGAGCTTAGAGCTGGACACACTGTATAAACAAAATGTGGAGTATTTTTCATTTATTCTCTAAAAAGCCCCAGAAATGTGCTTTTAGCTTTGAGTCCATAAAAACACTTACTTGAAGGAAAGGTGCTATAAGACACTTCTCTACTTTAACAGTTTTCATTAAGAACCTTAATGCTATAGTTTTCAATACATAGCTTCATGGAACAAGGTAGAAGCAAGGGAAAAATGACTTCCATCAGTTCATTTC